TTTTGGGGTGGCTGCAGTCCCCCCTGTAGCCCCCTCCCACTGCCGCTGCCACCCGCCCTGAGTGCAGCCCACCCCATCCCCCCTCTGGGAAGATCCTGGCACAGCCCCAGCCTCAGTTCGCCCCACACATATCTGGGGTGCACCCCCCCCATGCTGTCCCGGACAAGTGGCACGCAGCAGTGGGAGCCGTTTCCCACCCCCCGCTCCTTGGATAACCCGCAGCTCCGTCCCTTGTCTGCCTGCCCTAGCCACACTCCTCCCTCACTGCAGGGGCCTTGATGTGCCCCCCGCATGCCCTTTCTCTTCCCCCTCCCTTTCCACCACAGACTTACCAGCTGCACACAGCTCTCAGTGCTGCCGGGTTGTGCTCCTCGCCACCTGCATACTGCGCTGCAGCTGCGCACAAGCATGGGCCATTTATCGGCCAAATTATCAGCCAAATCAGGCTGATTTCCGATACAGACAATTTTCTTTATATCAGTGCTGATCCGATATTGGACCGATGTATTAGTGCACCTCTACAAAAACTGAAACAACATATTAAGGCTAACAAGATTTATGCTAATCATCACTCTTCCCAACATTTTGCATGCTCCTGTAATGTAAAAATTAATAATAAATAAAATTCAAATGCCCATATGTGGTAAAATATATCATTGGATTAAATAAAAGCAGAGGAATTAAACAACAGAGTCCCCATTGAGTGGACAGAGAGCCTGCATGGTCTAATACTTATTAAAGGTAACCAGTAAGAATAACAACTGGAACAACTGCTTGTTTCACACAGGTTAACTCTATACTTTTAACAAAATTCACCTTCTTCCTGCATATTCAGAGTTCCTAATTGTGCAATGTTAGCTAACTTTCACCTAAAGGGTATGCCACACCATAGTCACTTGCCCCATCTAATGGTTCAATTTGGAACTGGAAGGTAACATTAAATAAGTGAGTTTTGAGGACTTTTTGGTATCCTATACCACTATTATAAAATATGTAAAAAACAAAATTTTCTATTACTGTAAAATTATCAAAGTATTTATATGTATATAGTATATACATATTGAGGAAGTCATGTTTATTATATAAATATATATACACATATATGTATGTACACATACCCTCCTCATTACATACATTTTCTACCATTGTCTCCCCACCATCATCTTCTTTATTTTGGGGATTCATAGATTCATAGATTCTAGGGTCGGAAGGGA